TTGAATACGTACAAAGTGGGAAATCTCTCAAATTATAAAGTCGTTTTCATAGTTCATTTCAGGGAATTTGCTTTATCACCGTTTTCCAAAGTGTTTTGAGCCCGTCATCATAACCTGTGCGCCCTTTTTTCGTGCTAGCCATCGCTAGCAGTCACCGTACTGTGACTTTTTGAGTAAAAAAAGCCTTGATATTCCGCAGTTTTGAGAGGGACATAACTTCTGTTTATTCGATTTCTTTTACTTTTTTCTTTTGCTTTTCAACTCTCTTCGAGTGAGAACCCCTCCAAAACCCTACTTACCCTTTGCAATGGGAAGCATAGTAAGTTCAGGAGAACAAAGCTTTTAAAAAGTCTGAAATGCGCCTGTATTCATCGGAATACGCTATGGCGTGGCTACCAACGGACAGGCATGGTTTTTGTCAAGAGAAACGACATATAGTTGTAAGCAAAGTTCTCCGAGTTCGCTGTTTTCAGCACAGCTCTGATGAACGGCTTGTATATTCCCCAATTTCCACCATTAAGTTTAAATATGATGTTGCGAAAGTATTTGATTACTTATTGATGCATGAAAGATGCGCTATAAATAAGGCGAAAAAACGGAATCAATCATAAATCAGGTTATTAAAGTGATAAAAGCAGAAGTCAAACATCATAGGCCAAGCCGTAAATTCTGCAGAATTAAGTACTTAAGCTATCTTAAGTACATAATAAGGCAAACGAGTCAACTTTTTGCGTTTTTGTCTCAAACAAACAGATGATTGTTGCTTCTTGTAGGCCAGTTGATCGCGCTTGAAGCCGTCTGGCTTCGCGAAAAAAAAGCGAGCCAAAAGTCTTTGTTCGGTGGTCTTAATCAGCTTTTGATATTGAGGCGACGATGAAGACGTTACGTTCATTGCAGCTCGATAAATTCCATGGATATTCTTTATTTGGATCATATCGGTTTATCAAAACCTCAGTGGGGGTGTGGTGAACCTTTAAAATTTTTCTCTGCAGTTGTAGTTTCTTATTGTTAGCGGAAGGGCTCCGTATTTGCGCACCATGTTCGAGTATATGAGCAGCATATGCTTAATAAGAATTCAGGAGGAAAAAGACTTTGTATTTTTAATATTCCTAAATGTTGCGAAAAGGTGCAGAGGGCGAAGGTGATGCAGTGAAAAGTGGCGCTCCGTCACATACGCATGATCACGGGATCGAATTCAGAATCGGTACTCAATAAACCAAGCAGGTCTCCTCCCATCCAGGCTCGGTTATCAAGTACCAGATCCGTCTGGGAGGGTGAAAGCTCTGCACATCAGCTGGCCATCTTAAGTCATTGTATAGGCCACATACGTATCAGTACGCCAATACGATTCTCAACGGGAGTCGAATGCGGGACAGCATCCGTTAGACGGAGTTCGTCCACACCTGTTAAAAAACTTTACCATTCTTGTGAAAAAGTCATCAATTCCGGGCAATTAAGGGATAAGGAAGGAGAAAGTCTCGAGTCTCTCTGGAGGTGAAAGTGAAAGTCTCTCTCTTGATAAATCTCGTCGTAGAGATGTGTCCACGCACTCGACTTCCCTACAGAATTGTAGTGTTGTATTGAAAGCGTATGTGACCTATACAACGACTTGCGGTGGCCAGTCTGGTATCAATTAACCGACCCCGGAGGGATGGAAAGCTTTGTTGGCCTAGTTGGATATCGATCCGGTATTCGAACCGGTGATCATGTATGTGTGAAGTGCGCCACTTGCCACCACACGACCTCTGCCCTGTTCCGAAGGAATCGCAGGAATTCAGTTAATCGTGATACTATTCTGTAACATAATACTTACGCTGCAGTGATACTTATGGGGCCAACTAGAGGAAGCAACTTTGGAATAGATGTCTTGGGAATAGCCGTCATACATATGTAGTAGATTTCTTACAAATGAAGGAAACTTCGCGGAATATAAGCGACGCGTTGAGTATCATACATATAGTATTGCTTGAAGATGAAGCATATTTTCCATACACAATTTGCGGTATGCAATCGAAACAATTAAAGTGGAATTATTCAATGTCTATGTGTACAAACCTTTTCGAGGGTTGCCAGGTGTTCATCAATGGTGATTGAGCGTTTACATTCTTCGGAACTTACATCGAATTTGGCATCGCTATATGGGGCGAAACTGAAGAGAAGGGAGCTCAAGTGAATCCGCTTTTAGTAGACGTCAGTTGGAAATCGGTTGCCACTTTCATCTGATGTTCATTAATGTGGTTTGCCTTGGATTTGATCAGTGCAAAAGTCCTATGAACTCTTTCTTAACAGATTAGGAATCCTCTTGAGCTGATTGAGTTTTCTTGTATCGAAAAGCCGATAAGGGGTGATTTCGTGACATGCCAAGATTTTCGGGGCGACAAAGTTCTTATGTGCGCAGGATATTGCATTTTTGGCGCATCAATAGAATTGAAAGGCACATACTCATCTAGGCTTTCAAGAACTACGTGACTGACCTTTTGTAAATGCCTTCAACAAAATTATAATCATCAAAAACGCTCAAGCAATTTGTAGGAAAAAGTCGTCTTGCGAAATAAGGCGGTGCAGTTTCAATGCGATGAGAGGAGATAAGCAGCCTGGCAAAAAGTTCTGCGACAGAATGGAAGCCATTCCAAATTCCTTTGTGAAATTTTCCAGACCGATCCCAATCCGAAAATATTTCCACCAAAGAGATTAACAACCTTCGCTCATTCTTTGAGCAAATCACTTATACTATTTGTCCGGAATGTAGGAGGCTATGGTTCAGAGAAATAGTTGACTGCCGTTCTTAGCTCACATTAAGTCATGAATTTTTTCCCCGCAAAGAGGTGCTTGAGAAGGCGAAAACGTGGTATTCAAAATAAACGTTGTTCTGGGGGTCCAACTGCTGAACAAGCTGGAAGAAGCGAATCCGGTGGAGTTTTAATGAGTGTCTAAAGCGAAGTTTCGATGTGCTCTACCTTTCTGTAGCGACCAAAAATGTGATTTTGGACGCCTTTCTCTTACCGCGTTGACCAAATACTGTGGTTCATAGGGGTGAACGACAGCGGTGACCACCTAGTCTGCGTTTAGAAACTCGTGGTGGATGAGTCCCTCCACTTCTTAGAAAATTATGGGACGATGCTTGCGTTACTTCGAAGGCTAGCATCTCGTGCAGTGAAGTGATACTGTCGATTGTTGTCCGTCGGTCGGTGATCAAAGCTAGCATTCAATAGGTTGCTGATAATTCAAGCCGCTACACCAACGTTTTCCCTAGGAGTGCTTAGAAGAAGGTGATGGTATGAAACGGGTGTTGTCCATTCATTGACGGTAATGCTGCGGAAGCTCACATGTAAGCTCGCGCTTGTTTACTCATGTATTGATTTACAGGAAAATGTCCTAGAAGTATGCCACTCCTGCTACCGTGTCCACATTGTTTATATCAGGTTGACTGAAAAGTCTTGATAGGTTTTTTCTAAAAATGTTTTCTACTTTTGGCCTATATCCATGATCCATCATGTGATAGTTGTAGAACATTTTGGGAGGTTCTCCGCAAAAGGTATATATGGGCGCGTGCGCCTACCTGAGTTAAAACACCATGTCGTTTCCCGAGACTATCTTTGAGCCATAATTTTCTATGAGGGACGCCTTGGCACTGGAGCGACAGCAACAGTCCAAACATCTCAGCGTATTGGGGGAGGACACCACTTCCATCGCTGTCGTCTATCGCTGGTTCGCTCGCTTCAAGGAAGGAGAAAAGGGCGTTGAAGACAAGCCTTAGTCAGGACGTCCTCTCGCCGTCGACGACTCCGTCATTCTCGACCGTCAAAGAGGATCCGGAAGTTAACACCCACAGTCTCGCGAGGCAATGAGACTTGGTTGTGCCCAATCAACAGTCGTCGGTTGCCCTCAGGTCTTCCGTTAGAGAAAAAAGCTGACTAGATGGATACCTCATGTCTGGACCGATAGCATGCGGTACACCCGGGTATCCATTTGTCAGTCACTCCTTCTACGCCCACATCGCAAGGAGTTTCTGGAGAACACTGTCACTGGAGATGAAAGCTGTATCCTCTTCGACGCGAACAAGCACCACACCGTCTGGCTTCCGCGAGGAGAACCGCTGCCGACGCGAGCCCAATCCGGTCTCTACCTCGAGAATTTTCTCCTTTGCTGCTTTTGGGATTCAAATGAATGCTGCACCACGAATCGCTCAAGTCGTCGGTTGCCCTCGAGGCCATAACGTCACCGCACCCTGTTACGCTAGTCAGCTGCAGAAACTGGCGGGTGCCTCACGGGCTCAACGAAGAAAACAAAAAAACGCCTTCAAATGGCCTGCTTTCATAGTCCGCCTGCGTGCCGGCGTGCCGGCGGGTCAGCCGCGGCGGACTATGAAAGCAGCCAATTCCTGCTCAACATCTCGCCCGCCACCGAGCAACACATGGACACGAACAGCGCTTTTGTATCGGATCATCACGGGAAATGAGAAATTGTGTCTGTACGTCAGTGTTAGGCAAAGAGAGGAGTGAATGGCAAAGAAAAGCAGATGTCGAAAATGCTGATTTTTCCTCCTGGAGGTGGCTCGGGCCCGATTGAGGCGAGCGCGGACGTGATGGTAGTGTTGCCAATTCCCTGACTTCCTTGAGCAGCTTTATGTGGTTTTGGAGCTCCTACATAAGGTCCTTCCGTCGGTCGCAGACTTGTTCTAAGCCATTGCACGTGCGATCGAGTGCTGTCTTTATTGCGAAGATTCGCTGGCCGACCGCATTGAGTAGTGTCTCTCCACGTCGAGATGGTCGTCGACCTTTCAAAGGTGCCTTCGCACAATGTCCACTTTTGGGCATAGTGTTCGGTCTTGTCGACTTCTTAAAGTAAGGTTTTTCAAATAACAGAGCGAAGGAGTTCGTTTCAAAAAGTTGACATTGACACGATACTGCTCTGTGTTGATTTTCCAAGCGACAGAAAGGGGTTATCAAAGACATGGAAGAAATTGAGTTTGAATATAAACTTGAATTGAATGTAATGTTAAACGAAGTGAATCTTCGTTGCAGCTCTTCAATGGGTGGGTGATGAAGAGGCTCTTCTTGTTGAGGTGGCGGAGGGGCTAGGTTACGTTGACTCTTTGAGGTTCTTCTTGCCCTGGTTCTACCAGGCTTTCCTCGTGGCCATCCTCCATTGGCTGATCGCGGTTGTCTTGATTCATCTCTGAAAGAATCGTTGTCTGATAAAAATAGTTCGAAAACATTCCCTTTGTAATTGTTGAAGTACGAGCAGTTTGATAGCACTGACTTAAGATTAATATATGATCAGGTTGTACTACTATTTCCGAAGGAGCAAAATTACGCGAAGAAGCGGAGGAAGAAGGAAGAATAGAACGTAATTTTAATGTTGTCATTTCCGGGCACATTATCCGACCAGTAGCGAGACGAGAAGAAAATACGGAAAGGCAAATAAAAGCAAATTCCAAAACCTTTCTTGAGAACATGAAAAAAAGCGAGCACCCCGGCGACCGGAGGGAATGAGAATGTGACTGATGAACCCGTCGAAGCTGTTCGTTTCGCATTTGTTTTGATGTCGCAGAGATATGCAGCATTGATAAACTCGGCAATGGGAATGCTCATGAGAACGATTACTGTATAGATGTAAAAGCTTTTGCAAAGGTCACTAAAGTGAGCTATGTCTGGTAATTCCCATACGATAGCCAAAGAGCTGTGAACCGATTCTTCTGATTGATTCCATAATTTTATGTACTTCCAAAACGGTTCCATACCGTTTATGTTGTTGAGGTTTCCTTAGAGTTCTAAAATCTTTATTTGCTATCCACATCGCACGCGACATTGTTCGTTAACGCGCGCTTTGTTGAAAAACAGCCGTACTTGGTTTCCTGTCGCTTTCCGTGTGCATGTTAGCACGAATTGTTTATTACCGCACGTGGCTTGCGCGGTTGCGCGTAGTACGTTTGCTGTACATTTTATTGTGGCTATCGCCCATTTGAAGCAGTTATAGCAGCTACTGAAGCTGTTGCGATCACGTCGCCGTGAGGGCTGAGGTTGATCTAATAGCCCTTGTACGCTTTCCCTTTTGAGTTCCTGTCTTGTAGTGGCTTCTTGACATTGAAGTTCCACTGACCTTTTCTCCAATTTGCGTTTGACTTCTTCCGCTCGATGAAACAACACTTCCCCTTTTTTCTCAGACCAGATCTTGAAAAAGGTTATTGGTAGATTGATTACATTTTGCATAATAATGCTCCACCGTTGCTCCAGTTTGAGCATCGAAATTTTGACAATCGAGTTTTTTGAAATGAGGAAAGTTTCAAGCTCTTGAGCACATGCTCCGCCTCCTTCGAGCACAGTCCAGTCCACCCACCATTATTATTCCCTTACTTCCCCCTTCATACCTACCAAGTCTAAACCCTCTATTTATGAGAACAGGAGCAATGATTTTTCGGTTTATGAGAACATCGACAAACACAGACCAACCAACGGATTCACATAGTGCGTTATAATAGTAGGATATATCATAGAAGACAATTTCATTCCGCTAAAATGAGGCTGCTTCGATGGGTCTGCAGTTGGACGAGGCTGGACCGGGTCAGAATTGGAGTCATGAAGACAGGCATGCAAACAGCCGAGGTCTAGCTGAAGATGAGAGAGTAGCTCTGTCAAGTCACGGGCACGTACTGAGTAGACCCCAGAGTCATCCAGTAATAGAGCATTAGGTATTTAAGGCTTACAAGTAGCGATCACGGAGACCTTAACGAAGAGGTGGCTGGGCGTGATCAAGAATGACCTTGTAACGCAATTGCGACTTGAAAGTGTACTGCCGTTAAAACTGCCCACCATGAACTTAGAAATTTAGAATTTCGCAGTCATTCCCTATCGCAGTCATTCCCTATGAATCCTAATCAAGTGTTGCTCGCTGCTGTGGGCTTGGTCACGGATAATTAATGTCGAAATGCAGAAAGGCCACCAAATTCGTAACTTAAAAATACAATTTGAAAGCCAATATAACAACTCTGTTTACTGTGTTGAGTGTGCAGGGTGATTGTTCCGGAAGCCCACATTAGAGTCCATGAGCGCACCGAAACATTTTTCAGTTTTAGCTTACTACTTCCGGTTATAACTTTGGTATATAAATGCGTACCGACCGAGCACATTTGATTCGTGCAAAGGCTACACGGTTAGTTAAAATAAGAGTGCACATACTACGTAAGGATGAAGTCTTCGGGCGTCAATCAATCCCGTCTGGGGTATGCTCCCTCCATTCGGAACCGTATTGGCGTAAAGAATGCACATGTGACTTATACAATGACTCGCGATGGCCAGCCTATGTAAGAGGCAGTGGTTTTGTCCTACCAGACGAGTCCGTACCAGTTAGCCGACCACGGAAGCAAGGATGGTCCGTTGATCGAGGCGGATATCAATCCGAGTTTCGAACCCGTGACCATAGGTATGTGAAAGTGTGCCACTTCCATTACCTCACCTCCGCCCTCTACATCTTTCCGCACTATTTAGAAATATTTGAAACAACGAGGCCTTTCTCCACATGGAACTTCATGGTGCGCAAATATGGAGCCCTTCCACCAAAATTAGAAAACTAAGGCTGCAGAGAAAAGTTGAGATGGTTCGGAGAACTCCTATCAGGATTTTGATGTGTGATTTTGAAGGTGTTATTATTAATGTTGCTATCGTTATTCCAGCTGAAATTCTTGTACCCTTGCTTTATACGAACCATTAAGGGTGTGTATTGACTTCGTGAGGAGAGAGATTTTTCCACTCACCAGAACAACAAATTTACCGACCAGAGATTAACAAAAATGACAAATTACAGAGTTAATAGTTTAGTGGCCCTCCATTCCTTCGAATAAGTTTGAAGATGCGGTAGTCCACGTATGCACGAAGATTGTCGATCAGTTTTTGGTCAACACGATGCCACGCTTTGATGGTGGCTTTTTGAGCTCCTTCATCCCTTGAAGCTGGCACCTGATGGTGTACAGTACTCACCGTAAAACCTCGCAAAATGACGCGAATACCTCGAGCTCGCGTCTTTTTTGTCTTTTTTTCATAAGTCAGTTCAGATTGGAGTGATGCAGGAGCTAGAGATACCTTTGATTTCAGCTATAATCATCTACGGCTATAATCAGCTTGCGTCTATAATCATCTATAAGCTGGTCATATCATAATCATCTATAATCGTATCTCTATCGGTCATATCTATAATCATATAAAAGCTGGTTTCCTAAAGTATTGAAATGCTTCGTTTTGGATTTCGCCATATACTGAGGTTCCATCCGGAAAGTAATTTCATGTACATGGGGTGCACGCTTTAGTGCTTCTAGGGGCTGATTGGTCTCTGAAGATTGAGTGTTCAGAATTCGCTTCGGAGTGCGCTACGTACTCGGCCTTACTCAGCACAGTATGAAAATGATTAGTCAGTACTGTTATTAGTCAATTCTTCTATGCCATGCAGGTTTTCAATGGTGGAATATTTATTCGCTTGACGTTTCGACAAAATCGTCTTTTTCAAAGGCCTGAAAGCGTATCGCAACTTTAGAGTGTCACCTATCACGTTTGACATCGTATCGAAGTTCGTAGTTCGTCGGCCTGAATTGCAACTAGTTAAGAGCTGGTCTACGTCTCGTCTACCTATATATCTTTTTCAGAGATAACTATCTAAGTCACAGATAGTTGTTTATTGGTTTTGATGCTGTCGAGTTTTCAAATCCTCAGAATGTCGTTTTAAATGGCTAATAGGGGGTAGAACTGTTTGGTTATGAAGTCTCTACTACCTTTAAACGATGAGACTTTGCTCTCATACAATCCTCCCCAGTACGAGGCCGAAATTATGCCCATAACTCGCCAATCTTTTGAGACTTTCGAATCACCTACTGACTGACTGAATTGAAATAACTGCAATTAACAAAGCCAGGTCACCTCACGATTATTTCTCGAATGACACTTCTGATTACGTAGTTGTCTATCTGATGGAATTTAATACACTGCAAAGCCCTTCGGAGGGTTTGAAACGAGATTATCAAACAATGCTCCTCCGTGTTATTGCTAGTCGATCAATTAGTCAGGGTTCCAACGTGAACTGCCTTCCTAGCTAACAGATATTGCTGTAACTCCAACCATGAATGAACACTTCTCCCAAATTTTATTGTAGCAAGAATCACAGCAGTACATGTCCGGCGACTACTTCTTGTTCAATTCCGCACTCGTTGATTCCCCGAATCATGCGGAAGTAACCTGTAAGATAATCATTTATGAGTAACTGCGAATGAAAGGGAGTAATTCATCTACAAAACCCTGAGTCCTTTCTCAAAAGTCGGTTACACACTTACCTTCCTCTCCCCAGTCATTGTGCCATGAATTAGCAATGAGCCAGTAAGGCACGTCGTTTTCGACACCCCATCCGATTATAGTAGTGTCCATGTGCGACTGTCGATGAATCTCGGCATTCTTCCTTTAGTTTTGAAGTAAATTTTTCAAGCTGTAGAACCGAGATATTAACAAGCTTTATTAGGCTGACGTTTCGGTGCTTTCACCTTCCTCGGAGCCTGGAAAGACAAAAGGCACTTGAGAAACCATCCGATCAAGCACTATTTCAACCTACAAAGAAAGTTCAAAGGGCGTGGGCTACGAGGAAGTCAAAGTTGGTAACTAACCTCTGGGATAGTCGACCTTTGGGGGTCCACCGATCACCCTAAGCTGGTGTGGCTGCGGTTTAAATAGGGGTGAGCCTCAGGTCAACTTGCTTCAGGGGCCTCCAAGAGAATGATCACATAGATCAAACTCCCTCAAAAAGCCACACAAGGCTGAGCGCGCCGCTGACCCCTTCCCAATCAACTCCTATCGATTACTGTATAAGCCCCCGACCCCGCCCCGCCGAGAGGACCCCGCGGGGGATCGACAGCGTAGGTCAAAACCCACATAGTGCTGCAAAGGGCGCCAGCTCTGTGGTAACCGCCACGCACTCCTCCCTCCGGTTAATTTTAGGGGCCTTAGCCATGATCCAAAAGGCCTCTAAGGTTCGCCGCGCCGCAATATCAGGTTCACGTGATAATATCGTGACCGCCACCTCGAACCTCATGTTCCCATGACATCGTACCCTATGTTCTCCTAAAGGAGTCGCTGTTCTCGACTTTTGCATGCCATCCAGGTGCTCCTTTAATCTGATGCAAA